ACTGTAAAACGATTATATATGCGGTAGTATATTGGTATTGGTATTTCACTGTTTAATGCGTGGGAAGTAAATGAGATAGCTCCATATTGAAAGCCATCTTCTCTGTGGACATCGTCTATCTTCTCAAGGTTATTAACGTTTATTCATCTATAAAACTCAGTTGTAAAGATTCGGAGTATTTCATTTAAGGTTTATTTATGAAGGGAATTGCCTTTAAATGAAAACTTTTATAGGACAATAAAATGAGAGATCTCCGCTACTATTAGTCTTCTCTATCTTGACACATCTTTTTAGCTTCATTGACTTCCATGCACCCCTTAGTACCTCACAGCTATTTCTCAAACTAATTTTCTCTCCTACTTGCCGGTTCCCGAGGCTTGATAAGGGACCGTCTGCCACCGACCCTTCTCACAATTCCACGGATTCCATTTTCGTCTGCTTGTCACCCCCTTAAAAGCTGTCCAAATATTTAATCAAAATATAAATGAAACTGCACTTTTAATTACTTCAGTTCTTCCGTCCACTAAATCAGAACTCGGCAGATTTTAGATATAAAAACAGTTTCGCTGTCACCTCCTATCTTATATTGCGCCACAGAACTCGTAAGATAACTAGATTGAAGTTTTCTAATCTCCTACACTGTAGACACAGTATACAGTGCATCCCTAAAGTTGGGACTTCCCTTTACAGAGCGTATGAGTTAGGCAATAATAAGAATGTTTTTTAGTAACATATACACCAAAGCTATAAGATAATGGAGATAGGTTTTAAAAAGAGATAAATGAATCAGAGCGATCGTGCCACTCTGCCCTCCCACAATCCCCTTCTGTGTCAAAACGAAGATATACTATGACTATGTGAGTCAGTATCCAAACCAGGCGTAGCGTGGTGACTAAGGATAACGTAGTTATCGATTTGATATGAGCATCTTCAAGATCGTATTGACACTCCGCGAGTGTAGTCGCAGTTATCCTCGATGTTTCTTTCCATCAGAGGTGCATATGTTTGTTTATATTGTGGAAAGCCATCTGGTTGAACAGAGTTGAAGACCTGTAAGAAGACAATTGAGGCCTATTTTAATTGCAGTATAACTTTCCATCGCCGGGATCATACAGCCAAAGATCACACAGGTAGAGTAATTAGGAAACCGACCAGTTGATAATGAGTAAAGCTTTTCTTATGGACATCTAGCAAATGCAAAAATTGGCCGAGTATGCGTTAAAGTGGATAACTTACTATATGTTTAATTATATTAAATATTTATCATATACGTATTACCATATGTCATTTTACTTCCTACGCCACTGGGCGAGGAAGTATCGTAATCGTGAAAAAATTTGAAAATGAGATATGTTTTTTGGATGTTATATGACATACAGTATATTCAGATAAGAGATAGACCGGACATAAACAAGACCACGTGATAATCGAACGCTGTAACATTCGGCAGGGACGTATTAAGTGTCACGCAGTACATATTTTAGATAGTAGATGCTGCTTTGCGTAACTTTGTAGTAAATTAGCACAATTCGATGTGTATACGATTGGTGATGGATATAGGATCATGTGGGGGTGGGGTAAGAAATATATAATGATGTAAATATACATAAGGGTTTCAAAATTTTCGCTTCGAATTCCAGCTTCGGATGCCGCCTGATGTTTGGTGAAATACAGTCGAATATAATCTCAAAATAGCGTTTAAATTAGCCTAAATTAAAAATAATCGTATATCTCTTAAAATTGCTTTTAGAATATTGATTAGTATATTTTTTGATTTCTAGGTAAATATGTAACCAAATTAAAACGTTCAAAACGTAAAAAAATGTGCATGGTTGAACATTGTCAGAAAGTAGATTCTTGAATAGGTTTTGCCAAAATGGGTTCAAAAATGTCAATAATTAATTAAAAAATACAGTAGCTTTATAATTACTTATAACTTACCGAATTTGATGAACGACATCTTTTATTGGAAAGATGAGCTTGATGAGCTTTCATCATCGCTACTGCCTGAAGCACCAACGTCAATAATGAATGGCTCGACTTGTTCCTCTAAAATATTGTCCAGTTCCCACATTCTCTTTTCAACTTTGTCTTTCACGTGCTTAATACAGTTTTCCCATTTTTGCGCTGTTATTAATTCTAGTGCTTCTTTGAAAAGTCCTTTGAGGTCACAAAATTTAAAAGTTGTATTGTACTTAGCTATATAATTTTTAACCTCTGCCCATATGAGCTCAATGGGATTGAGCTCGCAATGGTATGGAGGTAAACGGAGCACAGTTTTATTTTGACTTGCTGCCATTTCGTCAATGGCGTATTTTTGATATTCCGCCTTGTGATCCTTGACAATTCTTAATAATTGTACTTTCAGCATTGCTTCTTCAAAGTTGATATTTTTCGAGCGGAGCCAATTTTGAACATCAACTTTCCTTGAAGCCGTTGTTGGGACCTTCTCCATTCTTCGAGAATGATAAGGCGCATTATCCAACACAATTACTGCGTTTTCCTCTAAGTTCGGTAAAATTTTTGAAAACCACTGTTCAAACGATTCGCCATTCATTTCCTCGTGGTAATCTACA